TATATATATATATATAAATAAATAAATACTTTCCCTTTAAGCAAGGTTTCAATATTCAACGAGCCTCATGATGTATGGAAAAAAAATATCTCCTGAAAGAGTTAATGTCAACGTGCTGGAAATGTTTTTGATTCAAATAGGATTGTTTAATGTAAAAGGGCATCCATAATCTTTGACCAAAAAATATTGGGCAAACCGACTCTGTTTGCAGTAGTAATATTATTTATTCGAAGGGCATATATTTTGATAATTTTTCAATGAATGGTTCTCTTGATTTGTCTATAACATGATCATGCCTAATATAATGTTCTCATACTTTTCTTACCAGGACGCGGCTTCTGTTACTAAATTGGAGGTAGACCCACTTGATTTTCTTTTTGGTTATGCTGCTCCAGTGGAAGTGAATGATCATTCTAATTCCCCAAATAAACCATCAGAATCAGGGATACATAATCTAGTTCAGAGAAGATCTCACCGCAGGCGTCGGATGCGTAATGACGAGTAGCTTTCAAACTCCGACCCTGTAGCAGGAGTTGTTTGATTGTCACTTAACATTTGCACAAGTTGAGGTTTAGGATTGGATTATGCAAATTTTGTGTTTTCGATTTTATGACACGTTCTGATCACTGCCCTTCAAACAATATTGCAGGAAGGAACAGTGTTACTAGTATGTTAACTGCAAAAGTACTCTGACACTCAAGTGAGTATTTGTTGTAGAGTAATAAAGGCTATTGTATTAAATAATCATATTTGTCTCATCAGTCCCATCAATACCATATTTATAGTGATGTTCTTGGGCCTGGTGGGTTTTTTGGATTATTGGGCTGATGCACAAGGTTTTGCACACTGATTATAGCTGACGTGGATGTGTTTAATGTAATTAATACTTGTTTTACTTTACCTCATGGATATTCGTTATAGTCGAATACTCATTCGGTATGTTCATCGGCCGATGGGGTATTCAGCATATTGGGGTATTCAGCATGTCCATTGGCCGAAGGGGTATTCGGCATGTCCATTGGCTGAGGGGGTGCTCGGTCTGTTCATTAGCTTGAAGGGGTGTTCGGCCTATTCATTGGTCAAAGGGGTGTTCAACCTGTTCATTGGCCTGAGAGGTACTCAGCCTGTTCATTGGCCTGAGGGGTACTCGGCCTGCTCATTGGCCTGAGGGGTACTCGACCTATTCATTGGCAATTGTTACTGCTTATGGACCCGAACCTGGGTGATTTATCCATGACCAGGATGAAGCTTGGGTGAGACTAAGTGGAGGTCCGAATCGACTGATGTTGAAGAATCAGCGAATGAGTTGTGGTTAGGGGTGAAATGTCACTCAAACCCAGAGCTAGTTGGTTCTCCCTGAAATGCGTTGAGGCACAGCAGTTGACTAGACATCTAGGGGTAAAGCACTGTTTCGGTGCGGGCCGCGAGAGCGGTACCAAATCGAGGCAAACTCTGAATACTAGATATTACCTCAAAATAAGAGGGGTCAAGGTCGGCCAGTGAGACGATGGGGGATAAGCTTCATCGTCGAGAGGGAAACAGCCCGGATCACCAGCTAAGGCCCCTAAATGATCGCTCAGTGATAAAGGAGGTAGGGGTGCAGAGACAACCAGGAGGTTTGCCTAGAAGCAGCCACCCTTGAAAGAGTGCGTAATAGCTCACTGATCGAGCGCTCTTGCGCCGAAGATGAACGGGGCTAAGCGATCTGCCGAAGCTGTGGGATGTAAAAATGAATCGGTAGGGGAGCGTTCCGCCTTAGAGGGAAGGACTTGAGAGGTATTTAGTCATCGTTTGGGTTGAGGGGGTGTTCGATCATAGTTGAGGCCGAGGGAGTGTTCGGTCATAACTAGTACATTATTTCCTATGTCAGAGGATATAATGCATCTCATTTTCTTTGGGTTTGTTATGCTTCTCTTGATTCCTTTCATATTTCACTAGTGAAAGTGTATGCACCGCAATGTGAATTTCATAGTATAATTATTAGAGTCAACAAATTTATTATAAATGAAATATAGTATAATTGAGTAGTAATGTAGAAGACCTTTTTATTTATCGTCATTATTAATAAGAAATATTACAATGAAAAAAATGAGAATATTAGAGTCAACAAATTTATTATAAATGAAATATAGTATAATTGAGTAGTAATGTAGAAGACCTTTTTATTTATCGTCATTATTAATAAGAAATATTACAATTAAAAAAATGAGAATCACAATATCCTCATCGTGAGTTATATAACTGAAATTAAACTATCAATATAAATATTGAGTTATACAAACAATAAGATATATTGTTATAACAATATAAAAAAAATTGATATATATATATATATATATATATATATATATATTTTGTTAATCTAAGGGTTATATTTTAACCCTCTCATCTTTCATGATAAATTCTCTCTCACTTGATATGTTCCCTATATATATATATTATCAGTATATAAAATATCGGTATAAATTATTTTTTTAGTGTGAAATCTTTATGTTTATATTAATAGTTCATTCAACAAAAAGATATACAAACGAAAGAACTATGATAATTTTTGTTTATGAATAAACAAAAATTATAATATTAATAAATATTTTTTTATTATTGTCTTAAAATTTGAAATTATTATTTTTAATTCTTATTATCATATAACATTCATTATTTTCTTATGTGTTTAATTGAAAGTTAAATAATATTAATGGCGTATATGATATCTTGTTAACATTAATAATTAATAATGGTGAATAGTTATTATTATAATATTTAATTATTTGATATATGTTGTATTGGATTTTTATTAAAAATAACTTGTGATAAATTGAACTATTTAATTGATGTCCAATAAAAAATACTTATCTTTATACAATTAATTGTTACCTTATTAGACTATTAATATATATAGCTAAATGTAAGCATGATAATAATTTTCACTTATTCAAGTGTCTTTTACAATATTTGTTTGAAACTCATGAAAAGAAAGACAAACAAATTTTATGCTCTCATTTTTCTATATTTATATAATAATATGCTATAATTTTGTATATATACGATTTTTATATGATTAAGATTTATATTTTTTCATCAATTTTAATTTTTAAAAATAAATTCAAAATAAATATTATTTATGTATCTTAAAATAATTGTTATAAGTCAAAAATAGTTATTTAAGACTATATACAAACGAAAATAAAATAATAGTATAGAATTACAATGATAATAATAATAATTTCAAATTTTAAAAAGCTTATTTCTAATTATTAAGCTTTCTTTTAGTAAATAATCTGTTTGTGAAATAAACCAGTTGTTTAGGACACACACATATATTTTATATATATATAAAGTTGATTTTTAGAATCTGAAATTTTGAAGTCGATGATTATTTTATAGCAGATTTTTTTAAGTTGATTCATTACATAAAAATTATTTTTTATTTGCAAATAAAATTAAATATATTAAAAAAAATTCAGCAAATTTGTCGAAACAAAATTTTATTTAATTATAGTTAATTATAATATTAATTTTTTTTTGCTAGGCAAAATGAAATATATTAAAAGTGAATTTTATTGATTATAATATGTTTGAACATTAAAAAAATGAGTAAATAATTTTTTACCTAAAAAGACAAAATCACATTCAAATAAAATTCAAATATGTAACATGTGTAAAATAGATAATTTTATTTTTGAATATCAAAAATATTATTATCGGCTAAACAATCAAACTAAAGAAATATATAAAGAAATATTTATTAATAAATTACAATATCCATTAAATACCAAAATCAAAAAATAAATTGAAAAGAAAAAACTATGGAAGCTCGATGATTTATACCGAAGAAGATAGGGAATAATTTGCTAAAGAAATTAAATAAATGATAAATAAGATATTAATAAGACTATCAAAAATCAAACATTTTTTACCAGCCTTTTGTCAAGAAAATCATAATTCAGCCATTGTAATCAAATCTTGAGAGGCAGCTATGTGAAGAGGTGTACGTTGATCGTAATTTTTGGCATTTGGATTGATTCCATAAGCCAAAACCCTTTTTAAAAGGTCCAAGTCCTTCTTTACAACAATCATGCCGAGAAAGTTACCAAAATCATCAATAGTAAGGATCGCTCCCGAATTAACAAGTACAGATGCTACTTCTTCATGTCCATTCTTGATGGCTTCAAGCAAGGGAGTGGCAATGTACTTAGAAAGGATATGAGTTCTGCTGGATGGTCCTCTCCATCTCCACCTGCTCGAACTTTTCCAGGGCTTGCATCCAGAATCCAAGCCTTCAAATAGCAAAGAAGCAAGTATGAAACAATTTCAGAAGCACTCAAATAAATAAAGGCAAACAATAAGACAGACCCTATAGTTACAAATTTACAATCCATGTCAACTCCGACTTTTCCTCCCTACTGAGTTTTTAACAGACTTAATTTGCTATGAAGCTCGGGTTACCACTTTTTTAATATACAATATTATAAATTCAATTTCTAGGACTTAAGGATCCAATCTTAAAATAGATCCCCCTGTGAACAAATACTATTTTCTGAGAACTCCTTAGTATCTAAGGCTCTAAAAGTCTAAATATGATACGCAGTAATGAGGCGTAACTTCTAGCACCTTCATCTACCCCTAGCAACATTTTTGTCATCTTCGTTCCTTGCTGACTACCTGTAACTGGATGCGGGAACTACCCCCCCCCCCAACAACACAAAGACTCATCACCTCCTCCATTTGCATGTGCCCCCCATGCTTGCATCTTTCCTCTGCACATTTTTTCTTTCATGGAAAAATAAATTATTAATTTAAGAATGAAACATAAGCCTTTCGCAGTGGTGAGATATACATTTTTCGCTAAATAATTGGTTTGTACTAACAACAACTGCAGACATACAATGCAAATTGATTGAACATAGTTTCTGAATCTATTTTCCACACTTTCTGATCTGGAATAGAAAACTTTGTGGGCTGAGGAAAGGTATTTTAACCAACTAGTCGTAACTGCGTTTATAATTTTTGATCCTACTTCTGTGTCTGGACACTGGGATAACCAGAAATTTTCACCCCATTCTGTGCTACATTCACCAAAAATAGCTTCTCATCATTGTAAATCATGTCCACATAAAGAATTTTTCCACCTTGTTATGATAAAATACAGGAACCATTTGGAATGTCCAAATGTTTCACCGCTTCCTTTATAAGCTCTTCAATGCTTTGTGGAACCCATAGGACCACTCCCTATTTTCTTTCCTCTTTCTGATCCCTTTGTATTAACGTGATTTTGACTTAATTGTAATTTTATCATCAAAGTTTTATGATTTTTTTTTAATTTTAGTATATAATTTTTAAAATTGTACATTTAGCAACTCATTTACAAATTTTGGTACATTTTATCATTCTATTATTAAAATTAGAAAATTCTTCTCTTTCTATTAACTCATTTATAATTCTTCTATTTTCTTCTATTTCTAATTGCTCTAGTTCTTCTATAAAACAGTCTTCTATTAATATATTCATTATCTTTTCTCTTATTTCTTTAGGAAAAGTCAATAACCGTATTAGTATTTTTTCTATCTCTCTGAGTAAATATTTATCTAAAACATATGTCATCATATTTTTTTCAGCAATTATTTTTGCAAGGTTTTTTACTTGTATAAATAATTTATTTATTTCAGATTCTTTGTTTTTATCTGTATTTTCTGGTTCTGAAAATTTTATTATATCAGGTATTAGGCGTAATAGATGTAAGTAATTTTATTATGTATAAAACCTTTGGAAATGTATTAAAATATTTATCATCAATAGAAAATGAACAATGATATAATATA